AAAAAAAAAAAAAAAAAAAAAGTGGTCACCTTTTTTTGGTCCCAACTTTACTCCTATCATATGGCTCAGGCAGTCCTTGGTTCTGGAGGGTGGGATTTTAAGAAATCTGCATTTTTCTCTCTCCCTCTCCTCCCTGAGTTTATAGACCTCCTTCATCCCCTTTCAGTCTGGTTTTAAAATTAATCAGTCAGCAAGTATTACTGAACCTGAAGTGTGTGAGCTGAGGTAGGGACGGGAGGTGAAAGGAAAATAATCAGAAGGCCCAGTAACAGCATTTACTGGCTATTTACTACACTGCGGGCACCAACCAGGCTAAGCAACCCCCACAGAGTAGGTACCATTGTTATCTCCATTTAACAGATGGGAAAACTGAAGCCCAAAGCATCAAGCCATTGGCCTAAGACTTCGCCGCTAACAAACGGCAAAGTAGGAATTTAAACCCAGGCCGACTGACCCCTGAACCTGCACTCTAGACAGCCTCCTTACGCTCCTAGGCAGCAGGGATTAGGGCTGAGGGTAGAAACTTTGCAGCCAGCCTAACCCAGATTCAAACACTCAGCCGCGTGGCTATGTGAACTTGGGCAATTCCCCGAGGCTCTGTTTCACCTTTGGTAAACCCTACCTCAAAGGGCTGTCCTGGGAATTAAATGAGATGATGGATGAGGAACATGCCAGGCCCAGTGCTGGCGCACAGAGGTTCTCGGTAGGTGACCATCCCTGTCCTCTCCTCGCTTCGCAAGCTCGCGGTCTAGTTGCTAAGTTGGAGATAAGAGTTCAGCGGAGAGCTCTGAGCTCTGCTGGAGCCAACGGGGAAGTCAGGGATCAGAGCATTTTTGCCGAGAAATGCAAATGTCTCCTTTGCTCCCTCTCAGCCTCTGCAACTAACCTCCTCTCCCATCTCCCCAAAAAGGAAAGGGGTGGCTTTTGTGCTCCAAAGCTGAGTGCTTGAAGCCCCTCTCTTTCCTGCTCCCCAGGAGGTGAGCAGTGGAGATGACAGGAAGTCACCAGGCGGGAGACCCTTTCTGGCATGTGGGCACAGAGAAATGTGGTGGAGGGCGCTCCTTTTTCTGCCCTTCAATGGTCCGGATGGGGGAGGGGGCTGGCTGTTGAGCAACTGCTCCGGAGACACTCCAGAAGCCGAGATGAACATATGCCTCTTTCTAACAATTGGCCTGGGAGCCATCCAATAGATGGAGGGCGGATCCACACCTCCCGGATCCGGAGCCTGCAGCAGAGAAGCTGCCGCTGTTGCCAGACCCGCTCCCGAGCCAAGCCGGGGCTGACGGGGAGAGTGGGTCAGGGGTTCAAATTAGTAACACGCAATTCGAAAGCCTAGAGTTGCTCATTCTCCACCACTTAGTTTTCACATAAACAGTTTTTTTTTTCATCCCAGGCAAACACCAAGAGGACTTGGTGTGTTCCACACGCGGTTTGCAGTAAGGCTTTAGGGTGCTGACAGATCCCGCCTTTTATCAGAGGGAGACTAGGCATGGCCCACAATCTTGCAAGCAAAGTGAGAAAGTGCAGCGAAGATGTGTGGGGTGTGGCTGCTACCGGGGTTTGTGTTGGGACAGGGTAGGTGAAAAGACTGGAGCTGTGCAAGGCAGCTTTGAGGGCTGGGGAATGGGTTTACCTGGCGACCAAGGCACTCGCCCAAGCTTCCTCCAGATGCAGAGGAAGGGCCTTGATCCGTCTCTCCATTTGCTTCCCATCTTTGTGTCAGTAAGCCGGTCAGTCGGTCAACAAACAGAACTTTGTTAGAAGAGCAAATGCAGGGCACTTGGGGCTACTAAAAAAAGAAAAAGAGACCTTCAGGTCTTCAAATCCAATTAAGAAGACAGAATACATACATAGTGAAAATGACTTCGTGACATTCCCTCCCCCCCTTTTTTTAAAACATCAGGACCTTTTCTTGACGAGTATGTTTTATAAACAGTGTAAACTGAGTAGTTGTTGCTGGAAGGCAGCAAAAAAAGAGCGGCAGGGAAGGGGTTGGCGGTGATAGAGGGGTAATCCTGATGGCCTTCCTGTAAGAGGTAAGATGGGAATTTCTTGGCCACAAAGAACCCAAATTGAGATGAGGGAGAAGACCCAGACCTCTTTCCAGTAAGAATTTGTAAGACAACATCTCTACCCAAGAAAGACGAACTCCGAATGCAAAACGTTATTCTTGCTAGACGGGAATGATTACATAATCATAATAAAACAACCTGACATCGTGGGAAGACAGGAGGAATCTCCGCGAACCCTGGGACAAGCTCTTCGTACCCCGTTGCCTACTGTCGGCTTTTCTGCGAGCCTCGTGACCCCACGAGGCCCCACAGTCCGGGAGAGTAGCATTTCTCCGGGTCGCATCCTGCCAGCTTCCTGCCCTGGATGACCACAGAACAGAAACCCTCCAACCCAACCCCAGCTCAGGACTTCGAGGAAAGCCACCGCTGCCATATAGGCCTTCCATGCGACTCTGCCCAAAATCTGGCAACTTCAAGAGGAAAAGGAACCCCCAGCCTCAGCTCTTCAACGAATGAGATAGTACAGCCCCCAAAAAGGCAGACAGGCTCCAAGAAAGCCCTGCAGAAAACTAGTGACCATTCCCCCGTCCCGTGTGCGCCCCTCTCTTCCAGGTCACTCCTTGAGCCCACAGCTCTCTCCCAAAACCCCTGAAGCCCGTTTTGGCCCCCGACTAGATTTAGGTCAGAAAACAGACACTAACGGCTCTCCTTTGCCTCCGTGAAATTACTAAGTGGAATTTATTGGGCAAGTCCACGCAGGGCGGTGGGGAGAGCCAGTGTCCCGGGCCGTGGCCCCCGACAGCTTTAGAAGCCGGGCACCGGCCAGGGCTCCGGGCGAGGGGTGCCCATAACCCGGACTCGCCAGCCCCACCCCGGGAGCCGTGGCCGGTCCACAGGGCTGCCGGACCCTCGTGGCCGCGTGGACTCCGTTCCCCAGCCGGCCCTTCGCTTTCACACGATCCGCGGTGACTGCACCAGCTCGAGCGCCTTTAAAGGGCCACACACGCCAGCCGCTGCTATAAAAATGTTCCCGGCGGCACAGCTGCAGAAGGGGCACCGCTGAGCTGCCGAGAGGAAGCTCGCTCTGCCCGGCAGCCCTCTTGTAGCCCGCCGGCGAGGGGCCGTTCCCGGTGAGGAGGAAGAGAGCAGCGGGCGGCACAGCACTCGCGCGGGCCCTCCGTGAGTATCCAGTTCAGATTTTGCCACCAACTCGCCCATGAGCCAGGACATGTGCTAATAATGCCCTAAGCCGGTTATAAAGACGTGGAAATTGAGGGGAGAAAAAAAAGGGGGAAAAAAGGGTCTGTCCTTCCTGGGATTCCTAGCCGAGGCCAGTCTGCTGCCGTGTGCGTGTGCGTCAGGGCTCTCCGGGCGGCAATGGGGGCTTGAGAGCCGGGTCCCCAGCG